TTCTGCTCTTCGTCTTCTTTCCTCTTCAGCAGACTTAGCAGCTGCAGAATGCAACTTAACTTTCCTATCAATGGAAAACCTGTAAATAAACTTCCTACTTCCCTTTTTGTTTTCTGAAATCCTTGTTGAATTTGAATCGTCAAAGGTTTCAGAGTACATTTACATGTTAACATAAAAGACATGAAGAACGTATATTCAAATGCACCAGTCTGAGAAAGGAGCCAAAAACAGACTCAGGCAGGCAGATACTAAATGAATTCAATGTGTAAAATTAAACAGTTTCATAGTAACACAAAGGTAAAAACATAAGACTTACTTTGAGTCCAGGCAGAACAAAATCAGGCAGGGAGGAACAGAGGCAAGTGTGAGTCAGCAAGGTACAAACAGAGACAGGAATTAAATCCAAGGCAGCAGTAAGCATCTAAAACACAAGGGAACATAAACACAAACATAGGACCACTAGAGAACACAGAGGAGCACATCAGACAACCAAGCATAGAAACAAAGGAAAGTGTAGCACAGAACAGATCAGGCTAGTGGAAGCTTTCTGCTGGGCCGCAGACCCTTAAAGTGTAACAAACAGAGGGAAACGTCCGCACTAATAGAACTGTAACACACAAACTGCAGCATACCTTAACTTAAATGTGTTTTTCCAAAATGTCATTAGCTAGCAGATTCAAGATCAGTGTTTCTTTATTAATAACAGAAGGTAAATTTGTTGTGCAGACAGGGCTTGGCATTCATCATAACATACAAAACAATAAATAACATTTAAAACTAAGATGAACCCCTCGCTCCCCACACACACTCCAGTAAACGCCATGATTGGAACCAAAACATAATCTCGTATATTCCTTATTCAAAAATGCAGTGGCTGCTGGTATAAAAGTGTTTTGATACCTTTTCGTTCCCCATCTCGGTGCTAAGAACAGACAACCTGAATGAAGAAAGTTTAACTCCCCGTTTAAGGGATAGGAGCAATGTTTATGTTACAGCTGTGAGAAATAAAGAGCTAACAGGGTGGATGGAGTCTTGCCGATGATTACCAGCCCATTTAACAAATTGGTTTAGGTTTAATTAAATCTTATTTTCCATGGACAAGTTTCCAAACCAGGCCAACAGAGAATAGGACAAAACTGATTCTGTCTTATTTTGGGGGGAGGTTGCCTCCATCTTGCTTTTACATTGGTGAAAGAATAAAGAAATGCTACAGGCTGGAGTCATGAAAATATCCCCCAAATTTGATGCACCCCTTCATCTTGCACCGCAGTGCCCATCACTTTATAGCTACTGTACCACCACACCTCTTCCTGTCCAGCTCCTCCTCCTGTGGTAGGCTGAGTAAGAGGTGGTTTAAAGGTCATACAGCAGCCTAAAGAGGGAGAGTGGGTTTGATAAATGACAGCTGAGAGGGGAGTGGGGAGGACCAGTGGGGGAAAGCAGAAGGGGAGAAAGGAGAAAAGGGAAGGCGAGATGAGGAGGAGGAGGAAGAGGAGGGGGAGGAATGGAAAGCATCCACTAGCACAAACACCTCTGAAACAGAAACATCCATTTAGCAGCGAAAACAAGCCCCCCTCACAAGACCTCTGTGAATGGACCACTTCAGCCGGCCGAGGAAGTTCCAACGAGGGGGCAGGATGTTCCCCTCAGGACGCACTTGAGACGGGCTGAGGGCCAAAACCCTGAATACATAGACCCCTCTCTCTCCCTCTGTCGCTGTCCACCCCTCTCTCCCCCTCTGTCGCTGTCCAGCTTTGCCCTCCCACCCGGGCCGAGTGGCTTCAGTAGCCCTAAAAAAAAAAAAAAGCATTCTACCAGGGATCTACTGAGCTGCAGCCAGCTAGGCAGCGAGGGAGGGCGTGGAACTGCAAGGAGCAAAGGAGTACACAAAGACAGAGGGGCAAAGACTTTCCATGATTAAAGACCAGTTAAGATGCTATGAGAGGCTAATTTGTTCATCGTGTGGCAGAATCAACAGGAACTGGGGCAGAAATCTCTGCTGCCTGCATTTCCTGCTTTAATTCAAAGGTTCACTAGTTTACTGACACGTCTACAACCAGTTTACTTTTCCCTCACTGCATCTTTATGCATGCAATTATTAAAAAATGTATTTATGTTTTTTTACATTTTATTTTTAAAATAACTACAGACATGTCAAGAAATGCTGGCTGCAAATGCACAACCATTTACATCAAAATAAAATGAGATATTAACACTAACACAAGCCATTCAGCTCATTTTACAGGAGATATACTGTAGTATAATCTGTTTGTATCTGGTTTCACCTGGTAACGACCTGCTACAAATAGGTAACTCGACAGTAAAGCTAATTTTCTGCCGTGGCTACACTCTCGGGTTGGTACAAGGCCTGTTTTTGCTGCGTGGCCTCACAGAGCTGCTAGCAGGGCTGCAGACTCTCAGTCCTGGGACCATGTGTGCCATCCATGTGCAAAGCTTGTTTGTATTCAGTTTAACCCTCAGCTAGAGTTAGTTTGTGTAGCATAAAAACGAAGCCCGATCCTGACAGTGTTCAGACAAAACAAACTCAGACACTGGTCAAAGTAAACTCACATGAGTGTGTACTCTGTGGTATTTTGGTTACATTTCATTAACATAAACTTCTAAACCTCTGATTTGCTCACCGTGAGTCTGTTTGGAGTTTTGTTTGACTTCATTTTGCCATGGGAACAGTTTGTTTTGCAGGTCCAGGCTCTCAGTGACAGACACGGCGTTGACAGCAAACTCTATTATAACATGTTTATTGAAAACCTTTTTTGACAGCATAGTTTGTCAGGCACAGAGAGACTGAGACAGAGACATGGAGAGAGAGTTGTGAAACACTTGTTTCCCAGTAGGAGATGTTTGCCCACAGGGGTTGTTGTGGTGGAATGTTACAGGGGATTCATCATGATCAAAAGAGGTACACTGCAACAAACAAGCTATGAATTACAAAAAAAAAAAAAAAAAAAAACAAATAATGCCAAATGATTAGTTCCATCTTTCTATGTTAGAAACATGAATACAGAGGGAGGAAGAATAAATTATGTGGGATGGAAAACAAACATGACTTTGCCTCGCTATTGTTGTAAAAAACCTGAAGCGGAATGCAAAATGAATCGCGATGTAACGGAAAGACAGTAAAATAAACTGTATATGGAACTCATGTCCTCTCAAACATTATTACATACATAAAACTCTATTCATGTACAACAGTAACATAAAGCATGTTTTGAAAAATTATTCTGGACTAACTCATTGTCAGGTTAGAAATGCATGATAAAAGGAAAAGGGGGTGAAAAACAGAGGAGAGCTGTGTGAAAGCTCACTGGCTAGTACATGATAACACCCCTCTCCTCCCACTTCACCTTCAATCCTGAATTTCTTCTTGTTTCCACAGAACAGAGAATAAATAAGTCAGTCAGAGTGAGTGACTGTACGTACAGTAAGAGCCCCTCCCTGACGAGGCCCTGGGGTTCATTCTTTCAATAGCAATGAAAACATGTTCACGCTTAAGAAGGATTTGTTGTTTTTAACATTTGTCTTTTGTGCAGCACATTTGTCTCAGGTTCTCAAGGCCAATATTGATATTTCTACAGTTAGGATTTTGGTATTTCTGTTATTCTCAGGCTTGGAGCTACACGACTATTATAGGACACTAAACACCCCAGTTAGTTAAGGAGTATCATCATAATTCAGAGGAAATGATATAACTATCACTGTATTTATCTTCGGTTTTGGTGAGGTGCTGACATTTAATCTACTGCTAGTTCTGCTAGTTCCCAAATGAGACACCCAACCCTTGAAAACCATGAAAGACAGTGGCTAAATTCTGTGGTTGGCTGCCATTTTTTCTTCTGTGGAACATGCAGCTGCACTTTACATTTGTTGCCAAAAACAAGACACATTACAAATGTTAAAACAACACATCCATCTTGGTTCAAAAGGGAGACAGAGGTCACTGATTCAGAAACAAAAAGACAGGGAGGGCATCCAAATACAATAAAATACAGGATAAATTACACCAGGAGCAAAGCCTGATTCTGGGGGGTGGGGGTGGGGCATCAGAGTCTAGTAAAGTAAATCATCATCATCATCATCATCATCATCTGGCTCCTTAATGAAAAACAACACTGAAAAGCCGATAGCGATGAATAAAAATACTCTCACCATAGGGAAAGCTTTTACCCAGCATGGAAGAATAAATAAACTAAAACACCATCCATGTCATTAGATCCATCCAACCTTTACAGAAGTGCCTTTTTGTTTTTCATCTTTTCCACTCAGAATCATAAAAATCAGCTTTGTACTTTCATAGCCTGCTGCTAGTAAGAACAGTTCTTTTATTTTCTATCATTTTTTTTTTGCATTGATATATTCAAAATGTGATCAGAATGAGCCATTAATCTCATTTTTGTTCGCTAAATTATTCCAGGCACTTCATAGATTTGGGTTAAAACAAACAAAACAACTTTGTGTAACCATTCACTTTACAAGGGCCTTGATTCGGTGTATAAGCCAATGAAAAAGCACACAACAGGCGCTAAAAATCATATTACTTTCCCAGTGTAGCAAAAAATAAAATGTAAAATTTGATTCTTAAGTACTTTATTTAGCAAAGATTTCATTAAGTACTGTCACAGCCCTGTTGGGTAATTATGTTTTCCTCCATACTGTCAATTCATACACTAGGGTTAGACTGCTGCACAGTGAAGTGTTGCCACCGTTTCCATTTATCAGCGAATCGTCTTTCTAAACCCCTGCTAAAAACAGACTGTAAACATTTCAACCTTTACACTTTGCTGGGGTCAGCTAGAGAGATTATCACATATAATAAAGGGGGTGGGGTGGGGATATCCATTTCACAATCCAATGATCCTTCTCTCAGTCCCCCTACATTCAACAGTGCAATAGTTTGGTGCAGCCTGGGGAAAGTGAGCGAAATAAACTTTTAAAACTAATTTGGCACTTTTCTCAACAAAAGGAGTTTCAGGAAGGTATAATTTCTTTTTTGCTGTGCAACTTAAGATCACACGGCATGCCTTCATTTTGGGATTAATACTATAGAGCAGCGATAAAATCTCAAGTGTCTAGGCAGGTTTTCTAGCAACACTCGAGCACAAAAGGACAATGTTTTTATCCATGAGTGTGCGCATGGCTGCTGAGTGGCACAACACACACATTAGCATCGAGCCTGTCAATTTTCTGTTACTATACAAGTCTGAAGCCTTCGGAAGCACATTTAAAAAGAAAAATACCCATCCACCCATAAATGCTTTAACACTGTTCAAACACATCATGGTTATATACTTTGAGTTTATGTATCCTCTTTGTCATTTGGTGTATCTATTTTTTTATTATTGTATATATTTAATAAATGTCAGATTTTAGTTTCAAGGCTCAGAGTCAAAGAGGGAGAGATTCTTCCAGATTAATGCCACTGACAAAAAACAAACAAAAATAAGACCTGATCATGTCTTCACCCTTACAGGACTCAAAACCCCACAATGCAGTGCATCTTATAAACCTTACAAGTTTGGCTTAAAAGATGAAACATTCACATTTCTTTTTTGTTATTTTGCTCTTAAAATCTCTAGCGTCACTGTTTCTTTTTAATGTGTTAACATTTTTCTAAATGCCACAAGTTTGAGCACATTGGCTGATAGATACTGAAAAGCATTTTGGGAAGTGGAGTTAATCATTTCTGTGAAATGTTCACTTTTTCACTGACTATTCTAATGTGTAATGATTTTGTTTTTGTTAATTCATTGTTTAGCTGGTGCAATTTTGCACAACTCTGACATATTTTGGGGGGGCGGGGAATGGGTAGCATTGCATTGTGGGATTTGATGTTTTAGCATAAGGCATACATATTTTGGGCATTTTGTGTTCCACTGTGGGATTATGGATTTTGGAACACACTACACTTTATACATTCGACACAGAGAAAATGATGAGAAGCTAATCTACTGTACATGTGATGCACTAGGAGGCAAAAGGTCCTAGAATCTTTTAAACATCACAGTCTGAACAGTGAAATGGTGTGATAGCTGCTGAGGTTGTCTGAAGGCTTCTCATGATTCACAGCTAGGTGTTGTTGATGTTGTTCAATATGTCTTTCCGTACTAATCCACTACTTACTAAAAGGCCTCTCTGGTACATATCTCGAAACGCTGCTACTTCTTGTCCAGCAAGAGTTAATCGTTGCTTTGACATTGCAAACGTCAACTTTTCAAACCAGAATCTGGACCATCCGGCTCCTGTCAGCAGGAGCCTTCAGTCCAGTCCAAGTCCTCCTCTGGTGGTCAAATCACACTCGCTCTCAAATATCATCTTCGGGTCTGTCATACATTCTTTTTGTTCACAACTGTAAACAAACAAACAAGAAAAGATTGATCAAAAACCAGAGGAGTCTGCCAGTTGTGAAAGTAACGTCGCAGTTCTGTTGTAAAATAAGTTACAAAAAAATCGAAATAAAAATCTTTGCGTACAGTACTAAAATCCTAAACTAGGTCTTTCGAACTGAAGAACCACATGTTAAGTCTATAAATATCTTTACAAATATACAATTTAATTATTCAAATAAACCTTTTCTGTGTCACTTTAAATGGTTAAATGTCTTACATGTTGTAACAGTGTCTTCTAGACGGCAACACTTCCATCCTAAAACAATACTTTAAAAAAAGTAATTTTTTTGTCTTTTATGCACATGGCCGCGGACAGCGTTATGATACATATTTGCATTTGTATATTTACAATAAATCATTTTCTAGATTCACAAAAACCCTCCGAACCTTGCTGTACTTATTACTGAATGGCCCTGAAAATGTGCCTCACGTCTGATGAGGAATTTGTTCTGGGATGCTGAACTGTGATAATGGAAGGGCAAATTCATGAGGAAACATGCTCCTGTAATTCTTCCTGTTGTTGAACGTCTTCAGTAAAAGTTAAGTTACTGAATATCTTCGGAAGAACGAGTCCCATCATGAGGTCGATTCAGGCTTTGCTGGTACCTTCTCAACGGATTTTCTCTTTCAGGTTGCAAACTTTTTATCACAATCTAAGGGCTCCATGCAGATGAGAGGATGAAAATGGCCATCACCTACTGGACCGCTGGTCAATGCCCTTTATTCCCTCCTCTTTGATCCCTTTCTTGTCTTTTTTTCTGTCTCAGGAGGTTTTATCCCAGTAGGCACAGAATGGTTTCACTGCACAGATTGTCTGTAACAAAAGACTGGCCCAAGTACAAAAATATAATTTCATTTCTGAAAAGAAGAACACAAACATGGTACAACGGCAAACAATAATCCTTCAATGTTTAAAAAGTCTTTTGGGGGAAGGACGAGGAGGAAGATGAGGAAAATCTTGTTAAAAGAGGATTTTTGACCAAGAGTTTAAGACAAACTGAAGAGCTGAAGCACTGTCGAAGGATGGCATGCAGAGTTTTTCTTTCCATATCTTGAGGAACCTGTGTCACTGAGAGGTGATTAATCACAAAATGTTAGAGGAGGTTAATGTCCAACCCTCCCCACCCAGCTCAGGTTTTATGTCCTAACCATGCCGTTACTGGGAGGCTGTTTGGGAAGACAGGGCTCGTCAGGCAGTGGGTCGTGGGTGAACACCGAGTCGTCACCAGAGGAGCAGGTGCTGTTGGAGTCCTGACAGGTGGGCGAATACTGCTCAAAGGGCACCGACAGGTCCAGGTACTCCTGTCAGAGGAGAGGTCACAAGTTAGACAGAAGTGTCACAGTCACATCTCTTCTTTGGGCAAAAAGCTCCTAAATTATTGCTTAGTTTCAGAATTATTATTTAACCTTTAACCCCTTTTTATCATTGTATTTTAATGTCTTTATTTCTTAAGTGATCTACATTTTTCTTTGACATTGTGAATATTGGTTTATATTTTTTAAGCTGAGGTAAGAGAGCGTTTCTCTTCCTGTAAAACATGAAAATATTTCTAACTCATGATCGTGGATACATTTTTGTGGTGCTACCATGTTATCCAGGGGCAGCGGGGCTGCAGGGAGACTTACATCGGTGGAGGTCATTGATAAAACCCGGTCATGATCTTCTACCAGCTGTCTAAAGGTCGGTCTCTGCGACGGCACCGCGTGCCAGCACTCCCTCATTATCATATACCTGAAATACACATATGGACGCTTGGTTACTATGCAAAGCATCCATAAAAATTAAAGTCAGATGTTAGATGTGACATTTTCAGAGACTTGTTTGGGTCAACTTTATCTGCAGCTGGATGGTAATGGTCTGTAACTAAGATGAAACCAAACTACAGACTTCATCCTTTTCAGGTTGAACCAGTTTTCACTTTGTTCACTGTTCATTGCAGGAGATCAACAATGTGACAAGTACAGATATGAGGAGAATAACAAGCTGAGCTGCTGAACTTGTATTCTGATTAATGGATCCTTCAAAGCAACTGAAAAAACCTGTATTAATGGCTAAACTAAAGTGTTTCACACTGTCCAAATTTTGTTACAGTTCTTTTAAAAACAGACTTTTGCCAGTTTGATAATTGTCAGAATAAACACCTGCCCTCTTAACACTTTGGTATCATTAATAGACAGTGAACTAATAATGATAATGCTAATTTACTGGTGGTGTCATCTCCTTCCTTCCTACCCAGATCAGGTTTACTGGCCTCCTGTAGACAAAGACACCTACAGTTCATGGGTGCAGTTGGCAGGTTTGTCCATCCGATGTCCCTCCTTCAGCAGCTTAAATAATTCTTCTACTGGGATTCCGGGATAAGGTGAACCTCCCAGTGTGAAGATCTCCCACAGCAACACCCCATAAGACCACCTGAACCCAAACAAAGAATGCAATTCAAATTCAGTATACAGTGGCTACAGACACTGACTGAAGCAATCTAGGTTCAGAAACAGGCTTTCTTTTCCCAGATTAAGGGATTGATCTGTTTGGGGGGGAAGCACTGAGCTGTAATAATGTTAACAGCACTCAGTTTAGGAATCAGTTTGACATTCTTATAGACCGGGACAGTTAATCAATATTTGTAAAAATCAACAGTACAACCAAAGACTCATCATAAAGCAACGAGAGTGGCATTTGTTGGTAATTGTTAGCTTGATTTCAGCTGCAGATTGAGACACATTTGGTGAGGACTTGTGCAGCAAGATGGTGTATGCGGAGTGTGGTTACACTGCAGTGCCCATGATTGTTATAATAAAGAAACATGTCAGTCAGTGCAACAGACAGAATGGCTGACTGATGATACTGCTGGTGTTTGGGGTAACAGCAGAGCTCTGGAAGCTGTGGAGACTCACACCAAACCTGTCAGCAGATCAGCTCGTTCTTTTCGTGGAAGTGTTCACGATAAGGAAAAAGGCAGTATATGAGCAGCCTTATGTTTTAAGGGCTGATGCACACAAGCAACATTACTGAACATTGACCAAATAACACATATTTGAATCTGCAACATCAACTGAAAACAGATGAATATCTATAGCTACATATCTTGTTTGTGTGTCAACAGGTTAATAATCTTATTTTGAAACCGGGTCAATACAAGCTACAGCTCCGTCCATGTGAACCACTCTGGAAATGCAATATACTCTAGATACTGAAAACATTTTGAGAACTCTGTTATGTGAAATAAGCCTCTGACAGGTGAACAACTAATTCACTTCCATCTACATTTGCTTGGAAGTGGTCAAAAATACAGAACATGAATGGAAAACGTATTACACAGTACAGTATCTACGGTTGCAGCCCAGCTCGTGCACTAGGCCATCACTTCTCTTTCTTTTCTCTCCGTGGCAGCAGCTCCAGTAAACTGCTGCATTATTCCCAAATGACTAAAAAATGAAGGAAGGTAATCAGATAATGGGCGGTCTATTAACCCAGTGTACTATTGTTCGGCCGTTTGTCCAGTGAATCAGAATCAGACCCCTCCTCCCACTGCAGCGCTCAGCAGGCTTAATCTAATTATCCACGCTCCGGTCCAGAGGGTGGAAAACAGCCGCTACTGACTGAGCCGGCTAGTTCATCATCCAAACACACACACAAAGAGAGAAATGAAAAATTCAGAGGGAAAAAGGAAAAAACTGAAGACAAAGCTGTGGCTGAGAACTGCTCTGACTAACTCATTATTTTGTTTTGGACATAAGCAAATTAGGTCTTTGGGGTCAGAACGGGTTCACGACCATCTCAGGGACAAGCAGTGAAAAGAGCAGAAAGAGCAGCAACCACAGCCACAGACTGAAGCTGTTTACATTCGCTGCTGCTTGTCAGAGATGCATGTTCACAGTCTATTAGGCGGCTAATCAAGATGTAAACACTTAATTTTTCATTGGCACCTGAAGCAATAAGAGCTGAGTCTTGGAAACAAAGCCACGTAGGATGTATGTATGTAAAACAATATAAAACATAAAATTCTTCTACTCATTATCAGAACAATGAGGCTCTAAGATCATCAGCCACAGACGTAATATTATTTCTCATTGGCCTGGGTTTTCTGTTGCTAATATCAAAACTGTTACTGGCGAAACCTTCCAGGTGGCAAAAAGTTGACAAACCTATTGTCTAATCTCTGGTTTTAACAGTTAACCTTCCTTCTTGAATCATATGAAAAATACCACAGCTGCTGCTCTGAAGGTGCCAGCGAGGTTTGTTCACCATAGCTTTTATAGGTTGACTCCTCTGAAGCCATTTAAATAAAATCCTCCCCTCCGTGATACTGCCAGTGCTAAAAATCCACTGGCTGAGAAATTAAAAGGTCAGTATCGACCGTGCACAGCCCTGGGAGTTAGGTTTAAAAAGTGAAATTGGATTTATTGTAACTGGTAGAAAGTGTCACTTGGAAAATTGGAACGAGCACGTTTCTCTGCACAGCGTGGAACAAAGCTTCCTGAGTGTTCTCACTGCCAGTTCAGAGCTGTGACTGTCTGGGAAACTTAAATACATGACTGCAGGACCCGCAATGCCAACTGTTCTTTTTTGAGCTGCTGTATGCTACGGCTTTGTCATATTCAGCTGTTTTCTTGCTGCTTGCCTGGGACACATTTGTTTTAGGGTGTTTTATTTGACGTCTGTCTGTCTCAGTATAACACTTTTCATGAAAAACCATCAGGTCAAAAGTCAAAGTCTCCCGGGGTGTGTGAGGGTAAACTGGCTGCGGAGCGACTTCTGTTAAAAGGGAGGAGAAGGTTTGGTGGGGGGACTGACTCTGTAATCCAGACCTGCTGAAATAACAGAGCGGGCTGATTCTCCTATGGGCCTGTTCCCAGTCTAGTGTAATCACACAGCCAGCCAGTGTTGACAGGGGTCCATGTTTAGCTTGGATGGCTGTGCTGGGGACAAAGTGCCTGGCTACAGCTGGTGGGTGGGGGTGGGGCACAGCTACTGCAACACAGATTGACTTTGTGACTCCCTCACCAAAACACACTTTCTTCCCTTTTCTCAGCCACCATGGGAGCAATCGGAGGGCTCCACCGCCCCGATGCCTTTGAATTGTCGTGGGATAAGGCCCAGAGGAACACCCTGTGATAAATCCACTGACCCTCTGTTCTGGGCTAGGTTGGATTTACACTGATAAAACAACAGTAAGATGTTGGACACTCTGTTGTGTTTCTGTCTCCCCCTGATGTCATTTTGGGAGGTTAAAGAACAAACACAGTGAGGAATGTGGAGCCGCTCATACACAAGAGGCTCAGCAAGTGGGAGATATCTGGAGAGGGAATGCTATGATTCCATATTCACATTGATGCTAACATGTTCAGTCATGATATTTCAACACCCAGATTCCTACGGTGCACTGCGGCTCCACATGAGCAAACAGTTGGCATGGGATAGTTAGTTTGTGCAAACTCACACGTCGCTCTGGTGCGTGTAGACCCGGTCGAACAGGGCCTCCGGAGCCATCCATTTCACGGGAAGACGACCCTGCAACAACAGTGGCACAGCAGAGCCGCTCGGTCAGCAGAACCATTCTGTACAGAGCAGACGGCCGAACATGTGGCCAAACCCACAGAGCTCAGCCTCGCCCTGCCATGACACCTTGAACTTCAACCTCATCACAAGAACCTCAGCCACACTGACCAAGTATAAAGAAGCATGTCTGTAAGTCCACCCAAATTCAAAGGCAATTCATTCATTTCATGCTGATACTTTGGTTATTGTGACTTCACAAAGCTTGAATGCTTCCTTTCCTGGTCCTGAATACAGTTTTCTGAACTGCTGCTTCTGGATTGTTCAAATCCATATGACTAATGTTGTTTGTAAGGTCATAAGTATCTAAACCCTGTCATAGTAGCTGTATCATCATTGGATACTGTTCAGGAGCGTCGCTTCATAAAGTCTAAAATGATCAGCCACACATTCTTTTCTCATTAAGAACACTGATGACTGACTGACACTCACATTCGTGGTCTTTTTGTAGTAGTCTATATTGTGCACGTCTCTGGCTAGGCCGAAGTCGGCGATCTTCATAACGTTGTCCTCCGTCACAAGGACATTTCTGGCTGCCAGGTCTCTGTGGATACACTGAGGAGGAGAGAAGTACAAATACTGACCAAACATCTCTTTACATCAGAACTTAATTGGAGATCCAAGCACAAAAATACATTCACACAACAGCTCGAACAACCCAGACCATCACCAACACAGTGTCACACTGACTGACCTTCTGCGAGGCGAGGTACTCCATGCCACGGGCGACCTGGTAGGCGCAGGACACCAGGTCTTTAAAGGTGAGCTGCTCGTCTGGGATTTTACAGGTGTCAAAGGAGTAGTCCATGCTGGGTGGCCGCCGTGCCCGCAGGTACTCCCTCAGGTTGCCTTTGGAGGCGTATTCTACCAGAACATACAGAGGACCTGAACACAACACAGGGTCATCATCAGCACTTGCTTTGTTATGACTTCACTCTCTTTTCTACAAAGCACTGTGGCCTCACCGTCCTGAGTACAAGCTCCCAGCAGGTTGATAATGTTTTTGTGTTTTCCAATCATCTTCATCATCTCCATCTCTGATACCAGGTCTGACAAATCTTTATCTGTGGCGTCATCTGAGACAAACAAAACAAACGCCTGATGAGGTACTTAACTGTAGTAAAGAGCAAGTGGCAAAGGACACAAATGCAGATAAAACCGGAGAGAACAAAAATTGCAGTTTGAACATGTGGGAGACTTGAGACCAGACAAACCAAACGAATTATTATGTACAGAGAGAAAAATGGAGCAAGAACGCTGCTGATTTCCTTGCAGAGAAACTGTGGCTGTCACCGCCACAACAACCGCTAACCTTTCAGCATTTTCACTGCAACAGTGAGAGGCTTGTTGGGCTTCTCCTTGTCGATGCCGACCGCCTCGGCCATCACCACCTGCCCGAAGCAGCCCTCGCCCAGAGGTTTACCCAGAGTTAGCCTGGAACAAAAACAAAACCATTTCAGAGCTAGGGTTGTTGCTGGGAGACAGCTTTTAAATTTCTCTGTGAGTTACAGTTTTAAATGTGACTAATTTGGTTGCCCGGTAAATTAAATGCAGAGGAAGGTGTCTTAGTGACCTTGATGTATTGACAACTCATGTTTTCACATTACAAGGACAACAGAGCAGTATCTGTCAATTCTGAAATATGTTGCTTGGCAGCATGAAAAAAGCCAAAGCATGCAGGCATTAAACATCACAGTTGAATGTGTAGGTGCAGTTTGCTTTCCCTTACCGTGTCCGAGGAAACTCCCATTTGGGATCGGGTGGTAGTTCCAGCTCGGAGACGTTGGCCAGCATGGGTCCGTCGCTGGATGACAGGCGGGCGATCCTGACCAGTGGGGTGTTGGAGTTCATGGAGGAGTTGGAATCCAAGGACACCTGCTTGGGTGCAAAAACAAACTGTTATAGTCTCCGAAGAGGGTGAAAGGGTGTGTTTCAACATGGAGACAGAGGAAGAGAGAAAGACAAACTTTGATATTTGACCCAATAGAAAATATTTTAACAAAGCATCCATCGCCATAGCTTTTATCTTGAGCTTTGTTTGAATCACATTTTTAACTGTAAAGTTTTATTAGTTGAAGAAAACTAAAATATTCACATGTGAGAGTGAAATCTAACTGATTTAAGTCATAATTCAAGATTTTATTGAGTTTATATCAAGGCATGTATTGTACGATCTCCCATCTCATGTCGTTGGTTGCTGAATTTTTTTCTTGCTTATCTATTGAATAAGTACAACTGCTTTTTTATGTCAAAGACAAGGCCAAAAAGCCAGCAACTAAAGCCGCAAATAATATTAAAAGAAATATTTTCTTGTACATATTTAAATGTGGCTTTTACAGAAATGACTTCTCAGAATATTCACTGAAAAACGTCACTTCTCAAATTCAAAACGCCATCAGTTAACCCTGGTTTGAACTCTTTAATGTAAAAGAACAACATTTAAGGTCTAATTAAATGACTGAATAACACTGAATTTGGTAGTGACAGACTGCAGACATCACACATCTCAGAGCTTGTTGAGCAGCTCAGAGTTTCCCTGGAAAACAGGCCTGACTTCTGACTTTTACAAGCTGAGCACTGGGGGAAGCACACGGCAGCAAAGACAAATGAAGGAGGATGTAGAGGTAGACGAGTGGCAAGGTGGGATGGACGTCTCGATCCATCAGCGAGCTCCATTTCCAGATCGGCCGCGCTGCTGCCGAGCCCACAGGCTCGACATCCTCCCACCATTTATCTGACTGCTGGGGGAAGCTGATGGCTCGGGCCCAGCTTTATGATGAATCTGTTTGTGTCAGAGTCTGCCAGCTCAGCCCCTTCAGGTGGGTCCTACAACAAACATGTCCACTTACCAGGCTTCCCCCCTCAACTGAGGCAAAATGAGAAAAACAGCTATTAAAAAAAAAGAAAACTGCTCCAGCCACAATTTCAGAGGCATGAAAGGTAATATCTGAGAGAACATGCCAGGAGGTTTATGAGAGATTTACTTAAAGTTATGAAAAGAAAGGAGAGAACCAGGAGATTAGCTTTAAAAAACGAGCGAAGATTACAGAGAAATGCAATAAGACCTGTCCTCGCACTGCCTTATAAGAGTATATGAAGGTAGCAGAAATAGAAACGCTTTAGAGGCTACCATCGCAGCATCTTTCAAAACATGAAAGATGTCTTTATGACTGACTGTCTTTATGTTACAAGAACTAAAAAATACAGTATTTTCCAGCTACATCTTGACTTTGGTTTCAAAAATCATGCATCTATTTTACCAGAAGTGAATTCTGATTAAAGAACTAGCCCAAAGTGAAATCACAAGTATCAACATCGGTTTCTGGATTACCGCAATTTACCAACATAGACAAACCACAGCGCACCGCCCAGACAGTCCTCTGACGGCTCAGGGGCTCAGACTGAAATGTTTTGAGGAGTGTGAGGTGGAGCAGAGGAGAGGTCGAAGGTGAGGGCAAAGCAAAGACCGGATAAGGGAAGGTGCAGGACTCTGGGCTGGTCTTCAGGTTAGTTGTTTCCCTCAGTTTCAGGTCTTTATGTTAATCTAAGATAACTAGCTGTGGGCTCCAGCTTTAAATTAGACACAGACATTAGAGTAGGACCAATCTTCTTAAGTAAATATGAGTATTTTCCAAAATGCCAAACTATTCCTTTAATCCACATTCCTTTCAGGTTCCTGCCTAGTATAGGTCTTGGTTTGTCTTGTCTTGGTGTGTACTCAGTTTGAACTTTGGATTTGACTGAATCTTGTCTTAAATGGGACCCTGAGAGAGAACGATGTGAGGAGATCTGCTGAGTGCAGGCGATGCAGCTGCTCCACTTTGTTTCTCTCTGAACAGTTGAGGGGTGAGTGTGCGTTACACAGAGAGTGAAATCTAAAACTAACACTGACAGTTGCAGTAGGACATAAATATCCCTGAGCTGAATCTGCTCCAAGATAAATGTGAACTCTTGTGACCAGTTTGCTTTCGAGTGTCCACTGTACGTCTGCAAAACAGCAGGACAGCGAAGAAGACAGAGAAACGTACAATGACCCACTGCAGGTTCTCACTGTGGCACTGATGCAGACAAAGTGCACTATTTATCCAGGACTCTCCATAACCAGTACAGAGTTCCTTCCTGAGTTGATAATGTTACTCCTGTTGGGGCTGTTTTTCAGAATAATCTAAAGTTTGCTGCATTCTGGTTTGCTTTTAAGAAGAAACCACTTAGAACACCATCTAATGCAATGAATTTACTAAAGATGTTCTTGATATGTCTTAACTTTTCAAGAGAGTTTATAATTTTTCCCAACTTTATACAGTATGTCTTCCTCACCTCTGGAAATTCAAAGGTTGTCAGGATTTGTAGGGATCCTGTTAATCCTGTTGTGTTCTTAGAGCAGCCGAGGAAAGCCACCACGCTTGAGGAAATGTTGTTGAATTACAAACCTACTGAATAGTTAAGATTTCAGCTCCTCAGGGATTGTCGGTGTGTGTTTTCTAACAGGTTTCCTACAAACCTTTTGAGACATAGAACTACATAACCTACATCAGGGTTGACCAACATTGTTCATATGCTACAAGCTAAACTAAACAGACAGGAAGAGAGAAAAGGAGGGAAAACCTATATACAAATCTTGTATCTACTTTCTGTTACCTGTCTCTTGAGGGGAAACTTTGAGAGCTTTTGCACAGGTGGCGTTGGTAGCGTCTTCTGTGCGGTCATCTTCATGCGGCAGAGGACGCCGATGACCACGGCGAGGATGAAGAGCACGCAGCCGGTCACATAGATGAGGATGTCAGCATAGTAGTCTTCCTTTCCTGGGCTCACAGCTTTGGGAGGAGGAGGTCAGAAAAATGGGAAGTCAAAATATCTTTGAATTCACACACAACTTTGCAAAAAATAGTTTTCTTTAATGATTATGCAGAAATCTTGCTTTGCTCAGTAGCAGGTTTTGCACACACTGATTTTGATTCTGAAGGAGTTTTCTCCTGAATAACATCTATAAACCAAAATATAAACTAGCTTTTGTGCAGTGAAACGTATTCATTAATTTTCTGATATGAGATGGCAAAGTAATTAGCTTGTAGTTTTATCCTGCTGCAGGTAATTGCTCCAGTAGAAGGTGATTATTGTGATGAACCATGAACATAGAAATGACATTTTAAACAGATTATCTGCTCAGATTAAAATGTCTCTCAATGCAGGCTGAATTGCATGTTTGTCCAGTTAAGCTGTGTTAACAAGTAATCTACAGTAACAGATTCTAATTAGGTTTGAACATGAACATTTAAGGTTTTGCTACTGAGCAAAACATGAAATCTGAGGTTTTAGAAAAGTGAGCCCAGAGCACAGAGGAGAGGAATATACCTGGAAGCACCGTCAGCCAAGCAGAATGGTAATTATAGCCAATAGAGTTTCCTGCCAGACAAGTGTACTCGCCCGCATCCTCAAAAGACACATTGGTCAAGAAGAGAACCTCTAGCTCCTTATCTGTAGTGTTAATACCAGCCGTCTGTGAAGGACGAGAGAGGGAGAAGAGAAAGAGAGAGACAGGCGATATCATGAACCCAAAGCCTCTTAGAGGAAACACCAAGTACACCATGGAGGAAAGGATAGGACTGAAGATTTAAAGAAGCCAGCAGAGACATTTTCTTCGGCTGACATCTCCACCACCAGCACCTGGAAACACCCATTCAGCACCTTCACCATGCTGCAAGAAAGAAGCTTGCTGGTTCGACTTAAGGCCACAGGAAACCCAAAACAGTCTGAACTGCAAAAATCTCCTTAAGTAACATTTGTCTGTCTCAAAGTTCTTAAAGTCATAATTAAAATGTGCCGGTGTAGTAATTTTGCTACCATTTATCAGAAGTTTCCTTAAGTCATTTTTCTTCTCTCACATTGCAGTAATGTACCTTAATGCGTCTGGAACTGGTTTCTAGAATGTGATTTATATTAGAAACAGGCTGAAATATTCCAGATTGTTAAACTTGTTTTTATGCTAAGCAACAGACAAAGAAATTGCTTATTAAGATGGAGATTTATGCAAGTATTTTTGACCAATAGACAATTTTCTGTCACTTGCAATAGAACCTGTGAGATTAAACTGAACCAGTGTGAGGTTTTAATACCAAAGCACAAGAAATTGTGGCACCTTGTGGGCGGGACCGAAATGTTATCCTCAGGTGTTTATTGGCTGTACATTTGACAAAGAGCTCGTTGTATGTTTTGAACTTTTCCTTCTGGGGGTGCCTTAAGGAACTATTCTGGGCCCACTGCTTTTCTGAATGAATTCAAAATCACTTTACTACTCTTTGCTGATTATCAATTCACAAATAGAAAATAAAACTAGAGAGCTGCTACACATTTTCCTCTTGTTTCAGCTGAACCAACATACAAACACAAGCTTTATATTTGGCAATATTACAACATTCACCAGTTTGTTATAAATAAGACTGAAATTACATAAAAATAGAGCATCACTGCAGCTGTGCCCTTTGCTCTTTAACTAATGGTTTGTGGCCAGTGCCTGATGTGGCCTGGTAGTGGGGCAGGGTTGGGGTCTCTAGTTCCCCAGGCCTCAGTAATGAACAGTGACATCCAGTCATGAATCAGAGTCATGCTCCACGCCTTCATATAAAATCACATTAATACAACTGGAGAATGCACTCCCAGGGAAATCAATATTGGTGTGTGTGCGCAGGTGATTTGGGGGGTTTATGTGGGTTTTTCTATATATGTGTGTGTGTAAAGGTGGTTTGTGGGATAGTGAGCGTGAGGCTTTTGAAGTCATCACTGTAATTAAAGGTGAGATGTTTGTTATTGATCGGGAAGGAAGACAAAGTGGCACTGGACGTTAAAATACACGATAGCTACTAGGCAACAGAATGTGAGCTCTGAAGCTCGGAACCCAAAAGAAGAACGTGTGTGTGACCGTGTGCGTGTATGAAGTCTGTTATTATCTTATTAGCAAGCAAGTAAGCCAGTGACACCAGCAACCAAGAGGAGCCTCGTAGAGAAGAGGAGACACAGCAGAGGATCTAATGTGATAAAGGTGGCTGCCGCATGGGGCTCAGAATTTACCTGCTTTGTGTACGTTAAGCCAGAAAGTGATTTCCGACTTGCCTACAAAGTTTGAGGCACGGCACCGATACTTCCCAGCATCTTTCTCTGTCACGTTGGACAGTTTCAACTTACTGTGGGCCTCAGTGAGATTACTGACAATGCTCTGTAAAGGGAAAATTGAGAGGAACATTTAGGCCCTAACAGCAAATTCCTACAACACATATATAGAAAATACACACAAATCTGAAAAACAGACACACAAGTATGATGTAAGCAAGTGGGGAACTGCAACTTTACTCACATTTCATTTTTATAGTGCAGATTAAAGGCAGCAGGGTATGTCAATCTTCCCAAAGTGTGCATGCTCTATATAAAAACACACCCTAACTCTCGATCAAATGTGCTCACACACACACACACACACACACACCCTGCTTGTGACAGGCTCTCCAGCAGAGAAACTGTAGCTGAATAATTAAACAGGCAAAGCACATAAAGGAGAAAACCGATCATGTTTTACAGTTGCTTAATGAACATCCAGGGCTCGGCTCCAGATGCCTCCCTCTCCCCCATACGTCAGGGTGAGGTGCTCATCATTAACTCCTTTTCCAAGCATCAAAAGAGCAATTCTCAAAAACGCATGACCCCCTCCTCCTGCCCTCAGCTGTATTTAACATCACACATGAGATCTCGCAGAGAGTCTGAATGAACTGTGGTGGGGCCAGAGAGAGAGAGAGAGAGAGAGAGAGGGAGAGAGACACAGAGATCTCAGTAAATACTGTTTCAATTATGTGGTAGTTGAAAATAGAGCGTGGAGCCACAGTCTGGGCTGACAGGCTTGCTTTCCTCGTCTTTCTCTGTTTTTCTGTTGGCCTGTCTTTCTCCTCCTCTTTCTTTCTTTTCCTGTCTGCTTCTCCCGCCTTCATCTCTCTATCTTACTCCTTTTTCTTTCTACTCTGTCTATTCTCTGTTTAGGTCAAATTTTTAGACGTGCAGTTTTCCATACTGGTATCATGTCTGAGTCAGGCATTGAGTCATATTTCTGTAAAAGTTGCATTGGTATTCTTAGTAAGTCAGAGCGACTGTAGAACCATAGAGTGCACGTGAAGGCTTCAGGATGAAAACTTCTTTTTTCACTTTTTTAACACTGGTTTGATTAAGTAAAGAATAACCAGATATACTGATTTATGTTCTGTTAGGCTGTCTTATTTACAAAAGATATGAAGTCGCTGGTGTAGACACGTTATATAATGTATACACCGCTAGACAGAGCATTTGTAACATTTTTGTATTGCAATATATTTTATTTCGATATATTGTCCCATCCATATTTAACGGTGGTTTCAGTTACGGTAATCAAATCATGTTAATGTGAAAATAATAAAAGAATAATTCAGCATTGCATTTTATGAGCTGTATTCTGTCACCTTCAGGCTGTTTGTCCGGTGTTAGTGCTAACCTCACAGGCTGTAGCTTCATGTTTACGCTATAGATATGAGGGGGCTGTGAATCTTCTCATTTAACTCTCAATATTTCAAACTATTCACTGACATTATGAAGGTTCTCATCTCACAGTGTTTTATAAAATAAAATAAGATAAAACTTTATTAATCCCACAATGGGGAAATTCCTGTGCCCCAACAGCAACAAGGAAAAAACAAGCAACCAAACAACAGCAAAAACACACACCACAAGGTTCTATGGAAAACAAATCAACTATATCCAAGTCTAACACTTCAGTTGACTGTCACACAGTCCCCTTGTAACTACACCTTAGATATCACTACAATGATGCATTATACAGTCTAATAGCTGTGGGGAGAAACGACCTACGATAGCGCTCCTTCCTGCACTGGGGATGTAACAGTCTTATACTAAAAGAGCTCCTCAGAGCCTCCACAATATGATGCAGGGGATGGGAGTAATTATTCACGATGGATGTTAGCTTTACCAACATCCTCCTATCCGTGATCTTCGATGGAATCCAGAGGGCGACCCAGGACACAGCCAGCTCTCTTAACCAACTTGGTAAGTCTCTTCCTGTCTCTGTCCGTGCTACCTCCCGCCCATGGGAGGGTTTCATTGTTGTGAAAATAACTAGAGTATTACTTTTTCCTATACTATAATTTTAATATAATAAGAGATTAAAAAATGATCAGAAATTGTGTGAAGATCTGCCCGTGAGAAACTGGGGAAATCAGAGGTTCTTAATTAAGGCTTCAACTGCAAACTGATCCATCAGTATGCAGAAGTGAGAGCCTGAGAACACTCTTCTTTCTTGATATGATTATTTTTCAGGACACTGCTGAGTGAAATTTGAAAGCCCAGAATGCATCATTTCAAGAAGAAGATGAGGCCAGCAGTGTTACAGACTCTGAAAAGAGCATCTTTTTCTCTCCTGTCACTCTTTCTGTAGCTCTCCATTTTCTTGTCTCTTATTTCTTTCTTTCTCGTTCTTTCCGGCCTCCCTGCCTTTCTCACCCCCCTCTCATTCTCCAAGTCTCTCACCCTTCATCTTTACCCACCACTCTGTCACACACTCTCTCTCTCTCCCTGCTGCCTTTGCCCTTCCTTGTGCGCCTCCACTCATTTTTTCCATGGCTTTTTTGGGTGCCTCTTCCCTTTCTCCTCCTCCTCAAACCACGCGACGCAGCACATCTGACGGCAGCGGCGGTTAACAGAGCCTGTCTCTCTCCCTGCATTGCCGCCACCACAGCAGTTAACTTAGTCCAAACCAGATGTTTGTTTTATTCCCTCACTCTCTAGAAGGAGAAAAAAAGAAAAATGAGGAGGCCAAATGAGAAAGCAAAAGGCTTTCTTGGTTTGTTTGAAGGGAGTCTACCTCTCTTCACCCCACGCCTCACAGTGGGTTTAGGGTGTTGTCCTCACTTGGCAAGGAACGCTTTCTGCTCTATTCTTGAACACTAACCCTGCCTGGGGAGGCAACAAGATGGCCAAGGGGAGCAATGCCTCCTAAAACTATCTGACACCATCCTCACTGCATTTACCTAACCTTTATTTTACGTACAGGGCACTGTGACTGAGAATAGCTTTTTAAAGAGCAAGAAGATGCAGCTTCAGAGTAACCAGACAAACAAAAAGGGGAAAACACGGGCATCTAAGCAGTTTGAACTGAATACCTGGAGATGCAAGTCAGGTAGCCACTCTTTCACAGTCTTGCATACTATTTGATGTATAATTGAAACGTTTCAGTCCAGAATAAGTAAACACATGTGGCCATTCAGTAGCAAGTCACAAATTAGAGTTTGACCAAAGATTAGCATCTTGTAAAAAAAAGGCATGGCCTCAAAATGATTAAAATGTGACGCTTATTTTGTCAGGGTGTTATTATTTCATTTGTTTTGAGTAGTTTGTTTTTGTGGCATTTTCTTTTTTCTGCTTCTTTTCTTATCTCTTAAAGTTGAATAGAAGCTTGACAGATGTCTGTCCTTGTCTGTTATCTTTGTGAAAATCCAATAAGTACATTTCAGATGTATTATCAGGGCTATGGATCAGATCAACTCATGTTTTCTCATTCACGAAACTATTGCTGAAGGCAAAACCAACATGGACCAGAATGAAAATAGTAATGGTAGTAAAGTTCCTTTTTCCAGCAACACAAGACAAAGATGGATTTTATGATCCAGCAAGGAAAACTTCCATCTGACTCACTGTAATATGGCTGGAAATATATGACCTACTGTGTACCATGATAAATGATCAGATTTGCCTCAGTATTACAAAGAGCTACTGCGATTTCTAGTGATATCATTAGGGTGACAAGTATCTATTTCTATATAATACAGTATGTAGAATAGTGCAGGCGAGGCTTTCCTTCCTGTAGTGAAGGTGTAGCGCTTGAGGGTTGAGCTTTTCAATTACATGCAGCATTAAAAAGAGCCTGTGGGTCCCACAGATACACCTACTGTAAGAACTCATAACACAAGACTTTTAGGAGAGATAATTATCATCAGCTGAAGTCCAGGCAAACTGTTGACGTGTCCTGGGGCAAGACACTGAACCCCTAGTTGCACCGGTGTGTGAATGTGTGCTTGGGAATGCTACAACGCATAGAAAAGCGGTTTACAAATAAGACCATCTACCATTTACACCCACCTTCAGGACGTTGACATATGGAGCGCCATCGGGGCTGTAGCGGCTGCCGTTGACCTCCATGTGTTTCAGCCATTGGATGTGTGGCTGGGCGTCGCTGTAGACCTTGCAGTGAAACTCCACGTCGCTGCCCACCACCACCGTCTGGTTGGCTGGCAGGCCCGCTTGGAGGATGGGTCTGTGAGGGGAGCGCTCTGAGAATGAGAGCATGGAGTCATCAGCACAGCTCCTGCATGGGAATGATGTGCTGCAGGAAATGTAGACCTAAGGTAGTTTTCTATCAACAGCTCTTGTGAGTTTTTTTAACTACTTGTGCATGATAATTTATTCGTTGTTTACACAGCAACAGCAGTGAAAGTAAATGTTTCTGCATTGTTTACCTAGCACATCCAGCTGGTAGGTGTGGGTGATGGTGCCGTAGTTATTCTGAACCACGCAGGTGTAGTTTCCCCGGTCTGATGGCACAGCACTCTCCATCACCAGACTCCACTGCTGGTGTCTCAGCTGAGGAGGGGATAGTGTGGAGGGAGGGGAGAAGGAAGGGATCCAATAGTCAGTAAACTGTACGTCATTACAAGATGCCTAAATTAGTGAGGAGCCTATTTCAAGAAATCTCTGAGGGAGTTTGGTGTTGTAGTTACAGGCCTGACATACAAGTAACAAAGCACCCAGTGAGTATAGTCCCATTTGTGATGACACACTTCTTTATATAGACCAAAATTACAAGTTTGTCTCTGAGGACTGTATATATAATCTGTTCTGAATAGCAGAAAAGTCTAAATTAAAGATGAGGAAACTGTCCAAGATGTATGAAAAATTCCATGTGAGGTGTAAAAATAAACTCATCAGCCCCATCCCTGCTTACTAATAAGTGTTCCTTCTATTTGTATAAATGAGGTGAGTGAGCGTTCTGTGAAGCAAACTTCTTTCCTTTGGTATCCTCCCGTATAAAACATTAGCCAGAGCGTGCTGCGTGCAGAGCATGTTTACTGAAGTGCACCCTTTTGAACAAACATATAATTTTCATAGAACTTAAAGCTTCTGTTATTGATTGCACACTGCTTGAGGCAGAGCAGATGTGATCAGTAGAAAATCACTGGACAGGTGATGGAAACAGCTCTGTGTGCCCATAAAGCTGTGATGACAGCAGCCTGTTGAGATGTCTGGTGCAAACTTTGGATCGTGAACAGCACGCCACAAAGTCCCAAACTAATAAAATAATGATATAAAGAACATTTCATGTTGGATTATTTTCATACTGTAAGGTGGAGGACTGTCAAGTCTCTTAAAAGCATTTTCTTCTCTCTCAGGATTCTTTTTGCACCTCTGAAATTGGTTCCACTATGCCAGTCAAAAGCAATCCACTCCTGGAGAGTCGAAGGGTAAATTTAATGTAGTAATTCAAACCAGGTGTGGTTGGACGGCAGCAGCAGACAGATACTAACTTGACAGGTTCAGAAGCTGCTCAGAGGCAACGCGAGCGAGGCGCGAACAGAGAACCTGCTACGCATCGACAGGCAGAGTCTCCACGGGCCAAGAGAGATGACCTCTGCAGCTTAAGTGGAAACATGTGCTGCAGACGTCGCTGTGCTTACTGCTGCGAGATGAGCGCAGAGTGAACTCCTAGGAGGGAGGTCAGAATTACTAACGGCAGGAGCGAGTGATGTCAACAAGGAGGCTTTTCACTGTGGAACACTTAACCTCACCTGTGTAGGAAAATGTGCCGACCCAGAGACGACTTGGTGTTTTCACAAACGTTTAACCCCACGCGTTTAGGTATCCGGCCAGCCATTCACAGAATGTACATATTTGTACTGTAGGTTGAGGCTCACATTCTCCTCTCCTCTTTCTTCCCTCTCTGTCTTACAGTATACAGTCCTTGACTCTTTCTCTTGGAGGCGCATGTGGAAAATAATGTAACAGTGTAAATATTATGCCTGTGTGTGCATACTGCAGTTGCATGGTAACATAGCCCAGGCAGCCTGCTCAGTGCTGGCAAATGGTTTTTCATGGTGGTTGGCTCCACCCCGTCTACCCCTCTCAGAGCAGGGGAGTCAAACTGAAGTCAATGGCTGCTCTCATGAGCAGATGAGTGACGCCTTGTGCTGCAGACACCGAGCCTGAGGAGGGGGGAAAACCATGAGGAGGGAAGCTAAAAGGTGGTAAAATCTGAGCTGAAGTCGATGCTCTGTGGAGGCCAGACCACCAACAGAAACAAAAAGAGTCTGTGATCGGAATTATGGGCAATTTTATAAAAAGACCTAATTTCAGAACAAGCAAGGAAAGTACATTTACTTAAGTTCTGTACCTCTTTTGACATACTGCTGTCAAAAGTCCTTACTAGCTTCTCCTCATCTACTTCTATTTTAGAAACAAACGCTGTACTTTTTACTAAACTACATTTATCTGACAGCCGTAGTTACTGCACACACTCTGATTTAGCATTTAGTTTGAGACACTTGGGTAAAAATATTACATCTAGTCTAGTTTCAGTTTGATAAACATGGATTTTTAACCCAGTCTGTAAAGAGGCATCAACCTTTGTCTTAAGACAACAGCAAGAACATCCCGTAACTGGAGAACTCTCACATTTTGTATCTATGCAGACAGATTTTGATTATTTCACCACAGGTTTTATTGTACTGGCAGTTTGAACAGAAGAAAAGAAAAAACTTTTCTCAAGTACTTAATACTAAGTAATAAGTAGTTTTGGTGATGCTTTACATTTACAAATAATTAATAAGCAATAAAACACACCCTTGTTTAGCTGTAAACACTCAGGAATTTTTGCTGCTAAGGCCTTATAGCTTATCGTGGCTAATATAAGTTAAAGTAATTGACATTAACTGGCTTTTGAGTCTAACTGTGTTACTGTTACTCTGTATTTGAACAAAATTAACTAGCCATTTTCCCATAACTGTCACTTCTGGGAACAGTGACACCTTTGGTTTTTCTACCTTATTACTTCTGTCTTTCCATTGGTATATTAAACTATTTTCTTCATTTATGCCACTTGTTTTTATTACCATGTTATACCGCTAACCCCTGTTGACCCTAAAACATTAGTCCCCAGACGTGGTAATCCCATTCATTCCAATCATGCCAGATTCCAAACAGAATTAAATTATTAAGGAGCTTACAATAGAGTCATATGAGGCTTTAAAGGTTTTAGGGTTTTGATCATGGACCTACAGAAGGACACAAGCCATGGGAATGGATAGAGAGATTTACACTGCAAAAAGTGTGCTTTTGAAGGAGACACTAACATTTAGAATCTTTGCATGAAGGAAGGACAACAGAGGAGCACCTTGGGACTTGTATTAAATTCAGCATCTTGGTCATGAAATACCTTGAAACAAATAAAATGATCAGCATTATTAATTTAACAAAACAAGAAGCCAGGATTTGACTGTCAGCTTAAAGGACTCATAAAGATAAAGACATTTTTTGCAGTGTAGCAGTTGCCTGAGAAAACACAGGAAACTTCCTTTATAGTCCAAACCCTCCATCTTTACCTCACAAAATAGCCCTGTCAGAACCAGCAGGGCCAGTTACCAGAATTTATGGCTGTGTCAGAGCGGACCAGTGGCCTGGATCTGTGACACCATCTAATTTGACCCACAGAGAAGGTGGAAACAGATAGAAGTGACCCTGAGGGCTTTTCTATTAAAGCTGGCAAAGTCTGTGGGTCTACTGACCGAGTTTGGCCCTGCACGCTACTGCATCAACATAGCGAAGACTGTAAAATTGGAAGTATGAGAGTTCAAGGGAGAAAAAAATGGATAAGAAAACCAAATAAACAGGAAAATCTGCCTTTTGCTATTCGTGGTGTATTTGGGTAACACGGCAGGGGGAGAAGAGCAATGACTGCAGCAGGTTTAAAATTAAAAAGAGTTCAAAAATGAAGTGTAGAAATCCTTATGTGGCCAAAAGAGACTCACAGTCTGGGCTGTGTTAAAATCCCGACTGGAAAAACAAGGGTTCAAAGTGATTAAAGTCTTAAAAAGTAAAAGCCCTGTCTTGGAAACCTGTCAAAACAGGGATTGAAAAAATCAGTTAAGCGCTGAGCGACCTGGGTGCTGTGAAACACAATGATAACATTATCAACCTTTGTTTCACATGTGCTGCTGCCGTTTAGCATGAACACAATAAAATCCCCTTCGCCATATGTGGCGGCATACAACGGCACTGGCTTTAGTTGCCGAGGCCTCAGGCCCACTCTGACACACCTCCCTCTCCCCACCTCTGTCGATGGCTCAATAGAAAGATGAACTTTAACCTTTAGGTCCTGTCCGTCCTTAAAGGAGGAGACTGAACAGCACACAATGTTCCAGCACGTCGCCCTGCTGGAAATTTATTTCTCACTTTACAAGTGAGCCCCACATCTTATTTACCATTTCATTTACTTTCATCAATGTAGTTCTCTGTGTTGTAATTCATTACACTTACAAAGTGTTTGTAAGACAGATATGAATGTTTGAACAACCTCCAGTGTGAGAAGATGTTAGTGAGCAACTGTAGGCATGCAGCATAATCACAGAGTCAACAGTAACATTTCCTTGCTGAGGTAATCTGCATCATCCCCAGAAATACATTACATTACATTACATTCAGCAGCTCTTAAATGAAGTGTGACCCACAAATACAATTTGTAGGAAACATGACTCCCTTACAAGAAGTTCACTTACACAACATATCCTTGACAAAGTCAAGTAAAACATATGGAGTATAATGTTCTGTATCTGTGGCCAGACAAAACAGATTCTCCTTCCAGACTGACATTAACTCTACCCTGACTTTATTTTAAAAAATGCTTGATAAAGCACATTTATCCGTGATTACAGTGTAAATCTAGAGAACCTTTATAACTTTTCCAGGATGACTCAACACTGTCATTTAATCTCATATTCACTTTTAAAAAAGTGCAATGCTTTGCTCAGCTCCACCGTTAGGGACACGTGAACCAATCTGCCTTAAAGCACCTGCAAGCTTTTGTCTGATTTCTTGGGAAGAGCACCCGATGAGACCCGGCAGATCTCGTCATACTTCAGGACAAAGATGTGACTTTACACCAGAACTGTCAGTTAAAATGGATGTTTCAGGGGAACATAGGAGAACATGGTGCATCCCCAAAAAGGCCACTTTCAACCACTGCAGTGTGAAGACAGGAGGTATTTTTGTAGGCAGATAATGGACCTTAATGGCCTGCACAGCCAGAAACCTTCTCTCACATGCCTGTGGATTTGAAGGCACTTAGAGTAAATGACACACTGGCTGATAGGCAGAGCTGCCTGGGGAGGACTCCACTGTGCTGATCAGCATTAGCGAGTTACAGTCCCATACACACACCTAGCTTTAAGAGACACATGACAAAATCATCCCATCGCACACCTTAAAAATCTGACATTTCATTCAACTGAAATGAACCAGCTGCCAAATCACAAATAATCTTGTCATTTCAATATGGATGCAGGAGGAAGACGGCTTCGCCTCGAGGACCCTGTCAGGGCAATAGAGTCTTTAGAAGGCAACTGTCAGGCTGTCAGGGCTCAGGGTACCCGTCTACCCCCAACCCCGCTGGATGAACTCATCACAGCCAGATGCGAAGTGGGGTGACGAGGGCTGTGACACAGACAGACTGAAGGCACTGCACAAAATGTGTCGCTGCTGCAGTTCTGCCTACACAGCAACAATTCAATCCTCAGCCACGGTTAACTTTGATTTTCCTTTTTTAATTCTTCTTGACTTATGTTCTTTACAGATATTTGCGCTTTCATTTCCTAAGGTGATATATACTTTCCTCCATAATGTTACAATCAGTACGTCACTAACAACATATGTTTTCCATTGCACGATGTATATCCTTCTTGGCCTTTGTTATTTGTGGTGCACTGTGTTTGTTTGCAACTGGACGAGCTTGCTGGTCTGAACAAATCCCACAAAGGATTTTAAATGTCCACTGATTGGTCAACTCTTTTGAGTGACTTTGTGTGTGTAGTGCAGGTGCTGATGATGGTCTATCGAGTGAAACATCATAATTAAATGAAGTGACCAACACTGGGGTGCAAAGTCTCACTTTTTGCTGTTTGAAACTAAAAATCAAACGATCAATTGTATGTTTTCAGCAGCTTCCACAGGGCCCTGATTTTACTAAACATATCATGAGCACCATCCGCTGCTGAATGCACAAAGACAATAGAGACAAAAGAGACAAAGGGTTTGATTGACAGGTGATCTCTGCACTGCAGAAACAGGGACGATCTTGTAGCAGGAACCATATGAAGGACCTCAGGGACAGATTGTCAGTGCAAACATCTTTTAGAGCAAAAATGAGAAAATGATTGGATGGACTTTTTTTTTTTTTGTAGTGTGAAGCAGTTCTAACATTAGGGCAGGGTGAAGCAGTTACCCCTGAACCCCCAGCCGGGTCACAGGCTTGTCTGTCCCCCAGTGCTCTGCTCCTATAGAGGGTGACCTCTCTGTTCACTTCCCTTAAAGCCAATGATGGATTTTAAAACAACTCTGAAACAAGAGGGAGGGAGAGGAGGAGCATGGGATGACACCGCGATAAAGACACAGAGGGATGTCTTAATAATGAGCTACCGGCTCCATCTGATTAAACTGATACATGTGATCAAGACACTGGGATGTGGTAGTGGTGCGTTTCCATTTGCATCACTTGCTGCGGTGGCACAGTTTGGTTAATGGGAATTCATCGAGCTTAGAGACTGAAAGGAGCCACGTGGTATTTTATGTAAAGACACAGCACAAATAAAACATCATCTGTTTGACTGAGCACTTTTTCTAAATACCTTACAGCAGCATGAGCGGCCACAGTGTGGACTAAACCCACAGCAATGCCAAACCTGACCCACTGAGCTATTCAGAGCAGAAAATGCACAGGAATTTGCTTTGGTGGCTTGTTGACAACTTACAGTGTCAAAGATCACACTGACACAACATAGTACAAGGCCAGGACCTCACATACTCTGCAAAGGCTTACTATGGAGAGGCAGCTATTCTTATCACTCTCTAATTATACATTTAAAATCCCTTAGGAAAACGTGTAAAATGACTACTACTGCAGAGGGAACTTAACGGCAGAGGTTCAGTCTACCCAGAGGAAATTACACCGATCCAGTTGGCATTAAGATCTTAATATGGCCCCAGTCACCACACTCCTGAAGTCACCGCTGGTGACAAAGGCACTCTGGGATTTAGAGGAAGATGAGGGAGATTTGATAAACAGATGGAGTAAAAATCTAAGTGACTGGTCAGTGTGGGATGACTCTGCTGCAAACAATGCACATACAAACTATCATCAGCAAATCTTAAGGTGTTGTCAGCATTGTAAATGTGCTGCCTGATAGCCACTGCAGTCCATGTTGGAGCGTCCTGAGGGCTGGTGACAGGTGTGTATGAATTGGTGTGTGTGTGTGTGTGTGTGTGTGTGTGTGTGTGTGTGTGTGAGAGAGAGAAAGTGGGGATAGAGGGAGGGAGACAACTGCTGTTGGTCTGTTGGGAGCAGATGTTGGAGATCTCTGTAAACTGTTAATAGCTGCAGGATCCCATTACATATAACCCTTTAAATGCCAAACCTCCACCGGGGAGAAAGTGTCTCTCACTGCCTCGCCACCAGCCTAACACATGTTTACTGTGCTGGAGTTAGAAAATGCAATTTCCATGTTGACAGTCAGATTACATAAAGTGTTTTAAAGGCCTCTTTTGCCTCCTTTCTACTTTACTGACCTTATTACAGATCCCATTGTTTCTGTTATATTTATGCATCATGGCATGAAATTACAAGCTACTGTGCTGGTAAATCACTTTTGCAGAAGCAATGTCTAATTTCCCCCCTTATAAATAAACAGTGCAATTCATAATATCTGACTCATTTCAGTACACTCAGTGGTTTTCCTGCTACAGCTTTATGTGGTCTGTATGACCAGAAGCCTAAGGTGGCAAATGTTTTGCTAATGTGAGCAAATTTTAGGTAAATATTGTTCAGTAAGAAACTTTACTGAGTCAGTAGCAACTCTTAATGACTAATTTGTTTTCACTTTTGCTACTGTTACACTAAGAATTAGCATTTAAATGTGATTTAAGGCTGCAGTGGCCCTTGTAAAAGCTAGCAAAAGCTGCACAGCTGGCTTTCAAAATACACACACTTTAGGCTAACAGGAAGGGAAATGTCTGTTGTAGCTGAAGTATACACTTTAAAATGAAAGAAAAGCTTAAGAAAAGAAACCAAAAAACTGTTGTTCTCAGGACTAAGGAGCAACACGAAGAGCTTCATGGAATGACCTTAAACTGTGAACAGATGTTTTTAAAATTTCCCCCAAACTTTCAGCGTGCAGGTCACATTTTCTTATAAATAGATTCCTATATTTTATGGTTCAAATCATAAAAAGTTAAGTTGCCTAAGAATACTTAGAATGTAGCAGTGAGCCCAACACAACAGCTCAGCATCAAAAAAGACAATTTCTGAAAGTTGGTTAAATCCCTTCATCATAACTTGATTTAGGCAGCGTGAGAATGGCGAGGGAGACAGAAAGACATAGGACAGAGCGGCCCTGGAAGAATTTACATCCCCAGGCATCATTTTTGATTTTTTATGTCATTAAGTTTATTTTGAAGCAAAACACACATTTTGACTGTTTGAATTCCGATGTTCTTACCACGCAGAGTTTGTCTTTTAATCTACAGCTCAAGGCCTTTAAAGCAACACAAAAGTAAACCAAGCCCTGTTACTTTAAACAGTGGCATTCCACACGAGAGCCCAGTGTTTAGAGTGAAACTGATGACAAAACTGAGAACAACAGCTGTTTGCCGCAGCACGTTACTGTCAGCACCGTGCTATCACGCGAGCATGCATGTACCCGTGTACCACTCTGATGTCAGAACAGCAGTTTGACCTGCTAAATTTATTTCAGTCAGCAGAGGCTAAGAGTGGTCTGAATCCTGCCAGGCCCTGAGGCATGTTTTCTGACCTTTATTTACTGTGAGAAGATTCATCAAGCTCTTCCAGTTATACAAATTCACACCAGGGAACATCACAGCACTCACACTGCTCTGCCCCTGGGCACACAGCAGCTCCACTGCCTGGACTAACCAGGGACTAAGATGCCTGCATCATCGCCTACAGACAGATCTTTTGGAGCTGCAGTCCAAATTTAAAACCCTGCCCCCCTCCTGTGACCCTAAAATGTTAACATATTTGAAGATAATTCCTGTTACCTTGATGCCTCCCATCCGCTGCTCTCCCTTGAATTCCTTGCCGTTCTTCAGCCAGTGGATGGTTGGCGTCGGGTTTCCAGCTGCGGCACAGCGGAACTTGACAGTGTTGGCAGCAGGAACAGCCAGAAGCTTCTTGTCCATCCGGTCAGGTCTGGTCCAGTACGGCGCTTCTGTTGGTGAAAGACAGTTTGAAGTTTTAATTTGAGACCAAGTCTCATGTTATTATGTACGGAGTCTCAAGTCAGGTCATTCAAGACCATGACTCTGACTCGCTCTGCCAAGTTGTGTCATGTTCATACCGAAACAAATATGTCTTTAGTTTTTCCATTTCTGGTGTATTCTTAGATCATAGAAATTTTGGGTAAGGCCCTCCAGGAATTCACAGTTACATGTTTTTGTAATTGCTAAAAGGTGGCAAAGATGGGACGAGTTGCTTCTCTGCCCTGCTTCAAATTGGTTCATCTTGGACGAGTTATGTACTTTGTCAGAACAGATGTGAGGCTGTGGTTTCTCTAGTCTTCCCTCCCCACTCTGATAAACAACATACACTTTTACATATCTAAATTTTTGTTTAAATTGTCAGTAAAGTTTAATTATAATGACATTTTGGTGGTGGGGATTCAAGATACAGCATAACAACAACAACACTTACAATGTTGGCATGTTAGTTGTTAACTGGGCAGACAATCCGACCAGCGCAAGATTTAAAATGTGGGTTAAGAAATGGTGAAATTTGAGGAAACTGTTAAATATAGCAAAAGAGACAGATGCTGTCTGACCACAGCTGAGATCAAACCCTTGACATTTTGATTATAAACCCATCTCTCTCTAATGCCAAGCCCACCCTGCTGTGCCGAGATGCAGTTACGTTCAAGATGCTCAAACGGTGTAAAACACAGTTTGACAGATGTTGAAAGAAGACAAAACAGGAGCGAGAAGCATCACAAGGCCCAAACAAAGCTTATCATCTTCTTTCCCTGTAACAATACAAGAGTTCATTTGAATAATCTGATCCTGCGAGTTTGGAAACCTGTCAGTGCGATTTATTGAGTTGTACTGAAAAGGCTGCAGACAAAGAGCGAGTAGCGAGTCCGAGAGACCTATTGTTGCTGCTGTGTGGGTGTGGAGGGTGAGAGCGCTGATGCATGGCTTGCTCACTCTTTTCATAGGTCTGCATTTGTGTGTGTGTTTCCCAGGACAAAAGCTGGGGAGGAGGCTGACCAGTCATCAGATGTCTCTTTTACTTTCTAAAATCAGGAGGAGAGAGAGGAGAAATTTCCATCTCAATGTCTTCAACTGTGAGCGTTTGTGTGCGCTCATACTCAGATTTGGCTGAACAATAATTAAAAAGTAATTCTCACCCTTTCTCATCAGGACAGCTCAGATGCGATGTCAGTCACAGAAAATATAAATACTTGCCTGTGATCATCCCACGTGTTTGTGTGTGTCTGTTTTTCATAATGTCTGTTCTGATGTATTCTTGACACACATTTCTTTGGCTCCTGCCATCAAACTTTGGCTTCGGCTTCCCAGAGTAATTACAACCAGACCGAGCGAGAGATTCAAATGTATCTTCTTAGAAAGCAAGCAAACAAAACGTTACTTAACTCTGCTGAACAGACTATAAACTGTGTGTGCGTGTGAGAGAGAGTTAACAAATTCTAATGGAGCAGCTGAGCACTGCTCCGTGCTTGAGGGAGACTCCCCAGCTTGCAAAGGCAAACACTCTCCACGTGCAACCACACACTTGCACACAAACTGCTTCCACCTTAAAAGGGAAATATGTGTTAGGCTTCATTACTTCTCTGTGTGTGTGTTTCTCTGCTCTCTCTGCATATTTGGATTGACACTCCACACAGTGTGGGACAAACCTCCAAGGAGTCTGAACACATTGTTTTCTTGGCATCATAATCAGCCACACACACACTAGGTCAGATAGAAACACACAGCCTCTCTCCTGATGTGTGGTCCTCATCCTCCCGCTGCTGCTGCTGCTGCTGCTCCCGAACTCATCTGGGCCTGCAAACAGCTCCCAGCTGCTGCGGATTCTTCAG